ACGAAGCAATGGTTGAAGGGAGAATTGAAATTGGAAAGTAAATCCTTCTTTATTGAATCAAGACAGTAAACTAGTTTTTACATTCCATTCTCAATACTCCAGATGAGAAATTATTTATTATATAAAAGTGCCAATTAGGACTAGAAAATTGCTCATTATGAGAAAAGTGCTGGGTTTGGGGGCTTATTTCCGATAGAGTTCACAGTTTCTTTTCTCAATCTACTCGATTTGCGACGTTCATTTAACATTAAATTTCAATTGAGAATGCTCAAATCGATAAAAAAGTCGATATCCAATGAATTTTATCACAAGATTGCAGGGTTAAAGTAACACTTAGTCTGTCACTCGCTTTGACATAATTTACTATTATATTTTATCACTAAATTGATTTAGACGTTTTAGATTTGCTAGACCCCACCAAAAAGAAACTTGCACTGTTTGCGTGGGAAAGTGGGCGAGAACTGTCCATCTACAATGACGTGATATTGTAAGAAATATGACGTTTAACATTGTTCAATCCTCCCACCTAAACATCAGCTGGAAATTTCCTTCTTGGTGGTAAAATAAAAGTAAATAGTTAAATCGAGAACATAAAGTTCATCCATAGCCGTCAAATGTTTGTTGGATTTAAAAAGACGCCTATCAGATTGGCTTCAAAAATAGGTAAAAGGTGTTCGTAGTACATACCAAAAGAATTCTTGGAAGCATTTGCCGCTGTTTTTCTAGTCATGCCTTCATCAGTTGCACAAGTGCCTTTTCAGATGCCAGACTACTCAACTACTACTCAACCTTTTTCAATTGTTTAAACTGTTGTTTGTAAGGTGATATTTGTTAAAATTGAACCTGAAATATTTGATCGGTGAGTAACAACACCATCTATTTTAAAATTTCGATATCATATTAATATTATTTATCTTGTTTGTGTTTACTTTGTCATTGTTTACACTTTTTTTGCTCTAGTTTGCGTTTTGTTGTTGTCTGTGGTTAGTTTACTTCGTCTTATATTGGACGGATTGAAATTGTGAACACCTTAAACGAAAGCGGTATGTATCTTTAAAACCAGGGACATTGTGAATCATTTTATTAAAAGAAAAAAAATCTCATTAAAAATTTAATGTTTGTTTTGCCAAGACATCTCATACCTCGGAGTCATTCCATATCTTGAAATTTTAATACTTGAGAATTTAGAACATGGAAATCAAACACAAAAACAATAAGTAGTGTAGACACACATCTGAATGTAAATTGTGAAACCATTTCTATACTTATGATTACATTATCATGGTTCCAAATAGAGCACAAAGGACAATTTACTTGCTCAGGTAAATGCTTGCATGTTCGCTTTCCTGGGTTCGATCCTGGTATAGGTCGAGATAAGGGTTTCGGAAGGCGTCCAGTCGTTTGCGTCACTAGGCTCCGTGAGTAACAGGTTATGCACGTCAAAAATCAAAAAAGGAGCACAATTTTCAGCACTGGTCTGTGTTCATAAACCAATAAAACAACAATTAAATTGACCAAAGAACACATCATCAGTGTTCATGCAGAAATTGTACGCATTATAACGACCTCCGCCCTCATTGTTAACCCTTAATATTTCTGTAAGCTTCATATTTCGGAATGTATGGCGTGAGTGTTTCTGGAATAGTTAAAATTAAACCACTCCATTCTAGAATAACGTGTCGAACACATCGCCATTGTTCTACAAGAAAACTTATGTTATATGAATAGACAGTGATATTGTAGATTTAAAAGCTTGTGCTGTTTTTATATCATAAAATATTGATTGCTACATGTTAACCTTTAACTATCCATTCAGAACTTAATATAGATTAGAGCTAGTTATATACTTTCAATAGATACAATAGATAATGGAAACTTGTAATTCATGCTGTATAGGGGAGATGATAGGGAAACTATATCACAAAAGGTGTAAGATAGGGTAAACCATGTTGCAGAGGGAGGCGGTATGATGGCGGAACTTCAAACTCACATTAATCACAAGTCACAATACGACGGGGAATTTTATGAGCATGAAAATTATTTGGTATACAGAGAAAGGGGATATGATGGTGCAAATTTAAAGATCACACATTGTGAGGGTGCAGAGGGTGTGTAGGTATTATAATAACCTGGGTACGATACTGATGAGGGATATAGTGCACTAGGAAATAAGACTTAACGAGGAAATTTTAAACTATTATGAGTTACTGTATACACCTATAGTTATGTAATACATTTATACCTATTTAAGTAACTAACATAGATCATACGGGTCTACTCTGGAACATTCCATACAAATAAAGAAGTAACTATTGTTTTGTAGAAAATTCTTGAACCCATGCCCTAGGCTGGCAGGGGGACTTTTTAGATAGGACTTTGCTGGAAGCATTTCTGTATTATTTGTGGTTGTGTCATATTGTAAGGAAGATTGTTTGTATTATTTGTTTATTCTTTATCACTTTAAATAAATAATTATTGTTCGACTTATTTCTTTGTTACGTTTCATGTGCCACACATTATACTTTTCTTAACGTAAAAAAACTCATTCAACAGATAAGTACAAACGATTTAGATAATGATGGTAGAGGGACGATTCTGGATGACTATTCTCCTGGGGGACTGATCAATTTGTAGAACCTGGGTCATCATCAGTAAGAGTGACGGAAAAACCCTATAACGTGGATACAAGAAAATATCTGCTCGTAATTCTTTACTAATTTAGTTTATTTTTCTAAACCATTAGAACACCACTACTTTCTATTCATATAAGTATTAACATTTTCATTTTCATTAATGAAAATAAGGGAACCCATCTTTAAGAGGTAATTAAGCCATGAATCCAAAAGAACACAAATCACACAATATCACGTGTTCGTACCAAAGACGTTTTGAGAGACCGCGATTTATGTTGTCTGCGATATTGACATTTTACACTATACAACTGTCGTCATGTACGTCATGTATTAAACAAGAAGTTTTTATAGATCTCCTCTGTATCTCAGCCTGTCAGTCCATGGTCAAGCAAATGTTTGATTGGCCATTATCTTTAATTAAGAGCAACATGGAATAACAGAATGTCAAATGTCTTAGATTGTTGGTCAGACGAGTCACGTGATAGTTAATGTAAGATACGTAGATCAGGAAATGAAGAGTGAACTGATCAGAATTTATAGACATGTTTTATTCAAACTATATCATTTGTATTTCGTTATGTGAGTGGCGTACATTTTGGTTCCTTAGTTAGATAACACTAGTCTGAAAATGCTCAGGAAGTTTTAAATATCCGATATGAATATATCGCCAAAGGCTAACGGAGCAGGACAGAACCATCTCGTTCGATCTCCATTTGTATATTCATTAGACCATAATAATGAGTCATTACGGTAAACTTTTCGAGTTGAAATATGCAGACTATCATAATTTAGGAATTATTTTATATAATATTTTTTTTTAATAACTATAATATATGTATTTAACCTTTTCATTATCCAGTTTACTGTCCAGTTTTTACTTTTTATTTAGAAGTGATGTTTATGATAAAACAAATTCTGCTTGAATGAACAACTCGCCATTTGTGCCTTGATTGCATTAACTATCTCAAACCTAGTACGTCATTCTAACGTTTTGGTGGACAGTTATGAACAAGGTCCCAGGCTACGATATGGCGTACTACAGATTACGAATTCAAGTTCAAGACACTAATACCTTATTTCCAATCATATATGTAGATGACCATTTGGTCGAGAACTAAATATCAATATTTATAAGATATAAAATCTATTTTTACAGAAATCTATCCATGGCAAATCTAAAGAATTTGAATGTGTACTTAGAAGCTACTTAAACGCAATGAGTCGAAACACATCGACAAATCTGGACTCGATGGGAGCACTCAAATCACCAACATATTTTATCAGATATGTGTTTTCATCTCGAGGTGCATGAGTAAGTTTTCTCAATATCTTGAAATTAGATAATAATTGCATGATTACGTTTTAATTGCGAAGAATAGCATAATAATGTACATATTTCGGAATACGATTAATTAGCCAAGTCGACATTTCCATAACCATTAACACCGAAATGACGTGCACTTTTAGGACCTGTATCAATTATTGACTGTGTGTCGTTTAATTACTTGTAGTAAATTATTTCTTAGAGATAGAACTCTTCATTCGGCAGCAATTACTAAGGGTGAGCGTTATGCTATCTTGGAATTCCTTACTTTTAGAGCTTGTTGGGTAATTGGTATTAATAAGTAAGATTTAAAGTGTGCTGACATCTGAATTCCAATTAGCTTGTTAGACTTCTAGTTGACAATTTAATATAAAAAGTCATACGGATGTTTAATTCCTCCAAACTGTACAAATGTACACGATAACATTGTTAATACACATGTTGATTTAATTTATATGCCTTTAAAAACTATATTGATGTTGCTAAGCCTGTGTTTGTTATTTTGAAGTAACACATCCTGTTTTTATAAAGTAAATATTGTTTGATTACATTGACTTGCATGATGTCGTCTTCTTAATTTCCGTCGTTCAATAAAGGTAATGCATTGACAACGTTGCTAAGAAATAGTTAAAATTTTGCCTTCTTCAGTTAAGATGTTTATAGAGGAGATATCTTCACACGTTTTTCGTTATGGTTGTTCTGTGAGCAAGCGGTTTTTAGTATGTTAGGTTGAGGACTTTGCATGTGTACTATTCCAAATTGATGTTGAGAATTCGAATTCTATGATTCTGAATGGAATTTGAAATGCATATCAGAGTGTAGTGAAGTTTTGAAAATATTAAAGCAATACGAAGTTATCTTGGGGATAGATGTTAAGTGAGACTTAAAAACTAAACTGAAAGTAAAGAATAGAAGCAGTATGGTGTGTATCATATATAGGTGGTGTTGGAATGTAATATATCAGATAGGTAATGTTAAAACTTTATAATATAAACATATAAAATAAACTCAGACCTGTTCTAGAAGTAATAAAACAGCCTTACCTGAAATTACTACACGGATGTATAACCCAATTTCCAACCCTTTTATGTCGCATTTTCTCTTTAAGTAATGCATTCTTATTTCCAAATAACTTCATTGCTAGTTTATTATCAGATGGTTGAAAGAAATATAAAATTTGGTCCTTTAAATAACTGGTTGGACTTGGCTTAATTTCAACAGCATTGTTCGTTTCTTGAGAAGGCGGGAGAAGCTCCTCTTTAGGCGTTCCATATAAACTTGTATCGTCACCTATGAACTGTACACGAACGTCATTTTTATAATTAATCTCCGGACTGAGATAATCACTGTACACCGAATCACTATCCGAATCTAAAGTTATTGTGATAGACGGATTAGCCGTTCCGGATTGCAAACACGGCATAGTCGTTTCTGTACAGCTGTCCTGTTTCGTTGATAAGTTTAGTCTCTTTAGTTTTAAACTTGGCACGCGGCGAGAAGCTCTAGGCGGTGTCGAGTGCCCCATTGGATGAGCAGCCGATCGGTGAGCGCTCCCATTGGCTGGTTTACAATATTTCACAGAATCAGACCTTTGGAGATTCGGCGATGCTAACGTGGAATATTTGTCTGGCACTGTCGAGGCACTAAGGTTTGTTGCAGAACTTTTCTTGCATGATGGTATTTCGTCTTTCACTGTAGATGTAGAGTACTGTCCTTGAGATATGTCTGTCACACTGCCGGCACGACGAAACAATGGTGATGACATCGGGGTGAAGAGTTTATGTGAATCGTCCGACGAGTCTTCTTCATCTATCGACGAATCACTGTCCGCTTGGATAAGCGGAACTCTTGGAATATGTGAGTCCTTCTTCGGTGGAGTTCCCGACATCGTGGTGTGTATTTAATTCAAGTGTAGAGTTGAGCTGGAAAAGAAATCAATGAGAAGCGAGATGAGATGGTAATAAATGGGGATTAACTAATACACTGAACATTGATCGTACAGTATTAAAACATGATATATACAGTTCGGTAAGAACATCAAATTTTACACTTTGTCAATATCTTTTACGGCTACAATTTTATTACACGTCTCAGAAATAAGAGGAAACACCACCACCGCGGCAAATAAAATTATATCACCGAAAGACAAGATTACTTAGCAAGTTTCAAACAAACTTATCTGCTGATATATTTGGTTTGATAAATTGTTACTGACAGTGACAAACCCTGCATTATAGGTTTTAAACGTTTTATTTCCCGGAACTTCCAGTTATAAAATGTAGGCGAATGAGTAAGCTATTTTTATTAACTGGTATGCGTTTGAAATCTTTGGCATAGTCTTTTAGCATATTCCCACACGAGGTTGAATAAAAGATATCACTTTAGTAGGTCTATACCCACACATCATTACTGACCTAGAAATGGCAGGTTCCTGAAACACCATTTCTACCATTTTTAAACTTTCAGTAAAATAATATTTCAGTTTTAGTGATTAATTTATATGATTGCAATTTTAGAAAGAAGAAAGATTTATTACAAGAGAAATACAATAGTAGTAGTAAAGTAAGTAGTTGAAAACTTGACTAAATTGATACTTTTCTTCCATCTTGGATAATCTATTGTCTTAGATTTTCTTAGAAGAAAAAGAGAATTTTGCTCATATGTGACTTTAGGTAACAACAGTTACTTACTGATTTGGTGACGGCAGTGTCCGTGACATAATCGATAACCAAGGATTTCTTGGGACTAATTATGATATCTGTTGAACTTCAGAGAGAATATGTAACATGCAGATTCAATTTCTCGACAATTTCAAATGAATTACTTAAACTAGTTTATTATGTAATAGAGCAATTGCATGTTCTAAACTCAAATCTGGATTTTATATCCCCACCTCTTCAAGAGACCTACAAAATAGGAGACCACAGTCAATTCGTAATGTAACTTAATAATTCAAAAAGTCTCAAAGTTTCAGCCAGTATAACTGTATCTAAATAAGATTTTTATGATTTGCTTATAGAATTGAGTTTTTTGTTGAACGAGAAAGTAATACCAGACCTGACATTTTGATTTGTTTTATATTGAACGAAAATAAATTACTCCGCGTCTCCGGGGAGATTTAAAACAAACTAGGTAACATTGAAATAAGAAAGAATGGTTTTATCTAGTTTTTGTCGGCGGAAAAAAATATTGAAATTTAATGAGTTGAAAGTTTATACATAATAACTCCCTCTGATCGATTTGGTCTACAATAAGTTGTCTGTGGAGGGAATGAATAACGTTTAGATTCAATAAGTTTTCGTGCGAATAAAGATATAGGTTGGCGCCATAAAAAAGAGTTTACAATATTAAGAAGGCCTACTGATACTTGCAGTATATTTCAAAAGAATTTATATAGAGCTAAAAGACAAAATCTACGTAGGTTGGAAAACGTTCAAAAGGAAGACAAATTTTATAAAGAATATAACGCTACGTATTCAAATATAGAAAAAAAGCAAATAAAACATCTGATTCCGTCTGTTTCTTTAAAAGATTAAACTGTCTCTAACTGCAAGGCAAATTTCAAATCAAAGGTTAACTTTTTCTTTCGTTTCCTGTTTAAATTACGTTGAGTAAAATTACTATATTTTCATTTGTTTACACCGACAGTGGTAATTTTTGACATCGAAGTCCTATAATCTTATGGGAATCAGAATTGTCATTGGTGTTTGATTTTTAAAAGTATGCTTGTTAGTTATCAAGGACAACTAAAGTTCGGTGTCGGTTTTAAAGCAATAGTCAAAACATACTATTTCGTTTTCATATTTCAGATGGAGGCTACCTAGTTCTGAGATTAAAGTCATATATGAAAACCAAATCGACATTTCTTAAATTTATACATTAAGAAGGTAAACCATTTGATTGGAGGCGATTAAAGAATTTGTTTATTAAGCGCCACTATGGTCATTTACAACCTACTAACGTGTATCAAGTTTTTCCACCTATATTGCCAATTTACTTAGAAAACAGTTCTGATTTCCTCTCCTTATCTCTTATCATAATCATGTATCGTATCTGATAAATTACGACATTACTTTAAACGAATTGCGAAATTCAGAAGTACGAAATCGGTAATAATATTTTTTATGACATGAACGTGATTTTCATTATATTGTATAAGGAAACAATAATCTTTAAAATGTAAAAAAAAAGTTGGAACCTATCAGAAGATAAATTACAATAATTCATTATCAGCTTATCCAGATAGATCGTCAAGATAAGTCGACGATATCATGAAACAAAGCAGCGCATTAAAAATAAATACATTTTCTGGGAAGAAACGAAATATTGACAATCTATCAATCAAACCAAGATTTATCGCCCCTGATGTTATCTACGTTTCTCACTGAAATTATTCCACACAGTATTGCACCATATATAAAGCATAAGATAGGTTTTGGGTTGAAAGATTTGTCGCCCATGTCCTTACATAACTTTATACCAGTTATCGGGATATTTTTCGGTCGCCCATGTCTATCGCCATACATCTGAATTGAGGTTAATTCAAATCGACCCTGACCTTACAAGGTAAGTTTCTCATATAAACTGCATCGCAGTCATGAAATTCCATTAAGACTTTCGTTATGTATCACATTCATTTAATGAAAAACGACGTAGAGTTTTTAATATCTGTGGTGAGACAATTGATACAATATTACGTACCATCACGCTATTCTGTGTCACAAGGTACACTAATCGCGATCTGGGGGATAAGATTCAATTTATCATTCAGACCTGATGCAATTTGAAATTAATTACTAAGATTACAATCAGCTCAATACTAAATAGCTTATCTTGTATTTTATTGCTTTTCTCATCATTCTGGCATTTGCAGAATAGGTATTTCTGATATGAGTAAGGGATAAATTGCCAAGAACTGCGACAGATTTTAAGTAGATACATTAACTGATATGCATTTGAAAACTTATTCTATTGCAAGTTAAAATGACTATAATGTCTATATAACATGTAAGTATATATCTGTTCCCGCAGTTTGAAAAGTCATTAAGTTCGGGTCGATGTGTTTCCAATAAGGCATTTCAGATGTATGACGTCACCTAAAATTATCATACATGACCTTAAGTCTTATTTCTTTATGTCATAGTTTTGAATAGCAGAAGTTAAATACCAAACCATGTATCAATAATTTTTGATTAGCTCTTAATCGTCACTTTGTTGAAAATACAATTTTTATGGCTGCAAATCATGGAGTAGATTTCCATTAAGGAAACAAAAACATAGTAAACATTATGCCGACAGTTGAACAAGTTTAAAAAATCTACCTTGTTAGTATGAAAACAATGGCGGAAAATCGATAGCTAAACATTAGATTTTTAAATCAAATTCCAGTAAAGATGTTGATTTATTTATTTCTTTTTCTATTTAAGGTTGAGGATGTCAAGCAACTCTCGCTATACTTTGCGTGTTGTTGTCGACGAAACCATGGCTTCAGTGTCAAAAACTTTTTACATTCAACGTGGAAGTTGTCAGCGAACAAGGAGGTCATCCATAATGCTGCGAGAAACTCATACAAATAGAACTATAAATAAATAGAGATTTATTTCTTGATAGAATCTAACGAATATTAGTTGCAGACGTACCCAACCCGATCAATTTTGCGATCTGCAACTGTGAGCAATTTCATTGAAAATAAATAGAACAAATCTGTGTATAACACTTGCTACGTGGTCTGTGGAGCACCATGTTCACATACACAATCAGATGTATGCTTCGGAAGAGTTATTTTTTAATACATAATAATTTCTATGATAATATAAATGAAGCTCCAATCTTTATAAATATGTTAGATTTCGACTCTCAAGTTCAAAAGAATGTCTGTTCTCTTTGATTCCTAAAATGACAGAATCAAGAGTGACACATAAAATATCAGGTTGCAAAAGATGGATGGGATATATCACATGAAATTACGCCAGTTAATTGCCTTACTAAGACTTATAGTGATGTTTGTAGAATAATAGTGGGGAATCACGTTATAAACTGTATCCTTCTTTCTAATTATCTTATTGTAATGTAATTGACGTTTTTTTTTAATCAAATTCATTCTCTTCCATCACTGTAGATTGACTTTAAGCTTACATGACTGTCACTATTCTACATTCCATGTTACTGACATTAGAAACTATTTTCCACGAATCCAGTCCAGCTACGCATATAAACTGAGCATTAGCACAGTAATATGATCACCTGTACAAATGACTTAGATCCACCAGATGAGAAAATGCCAAATTCGCGTTATATATCGAAAGAGTATCCACAGTTCCGACCTTCCAGCTTCAGAATAAGAATCGGTGACACTAAATTTGGTTTAAATATTAATTGGACGCGAAATGCATGGTCAGTATAATATATCATAAAATTCATTTA